CAGGAGATGGCTATTGGTGTGTCTGTTTTCTATTTTCTTTATGTTTTTGTGGCAGGTTATACTATTGGTTAATGGTGCTTGTTCCTGCATGATGATGTGATGTTGTCGTCCTGTATACAACTTGGATGTTGATGTTGCCATCTTGTTTCTTCGAAGGTGGTGACTTTTCTTTATTTATGTTTTTCTTATTGTATTTAGTGGGATAACAGCTCTTAGGTTTGGATTAAAGGATGTATTTTTAGTGAGGTTATTGTAAGGATAGTACTATTACATTTATGGAAACGCTGGTACATGTGAAGGGTTTTCTCTAAAAAAAAATAAAAAATAATAAAAAAACTAAAGGCTTGGCTCTCCTTTGCTCCAATTTTAGATTTGAATCATAGTGGACACTCTTTCTCTCTCTCTCCTCTCTCCTCTCTCTCCTCATCTCTCTCATCTCTCTCTCCTCCCTCTTATTGCTGCATCTTGGGTATAGACATGAACCTTGGCCCATTAGAATGGGAGCTGGACTGGGTCCCACAGGGGCGTTAAATATTTTGTGTAGAGTTTGCAAGAGAGCTGTTATAAACCAATGAATATTAGCAAGAATTTTAGCATGTAAATTGGGTGGCAACCTCGATATACGGTGATAATTTTATGCTTCTTTTGTATGTAATGCATATATTGAGTGGAACTAATTGAATATATTTCTAATCGTGCTATTGTTTTAATGCAAAAAAGTCATTATAAGATGTTTACGTCTCATAATATTTTATACAGACATAAAATATTGTATTCTTCTTTCTGTCTACAACTGTGAAAATTCTTCCCCGGATAACTTTATATTTTGATTTTTGTAACTTAAGAATTATTTATTTTGTACATAATGAGTAGTCAAGATACCTATTTTTTTTCAAGGCACAATCAAGCATAATATAGTAAGTCAAGATAATAGATTATGTAACAGTATCATTTTTGTCGTTGATTTTTTTAAATAAGGACATAAAATGATCATGAAAATTAATTTGATCTTTAGATGGTTAAAACATTCAAGAGAAACGCAATAACATTTTTCTATAGTATATATTAGTTTGATCCTTAAAAAGATTAGGAGATCAATTCAAACAATCCTTTTTCAAATATGGTCTATTAAAGAGATGACTGTTTCCATGCTGGAGTTTCCAGATTTCAAGTTCTTTTATTTTGTAACAAAAAGTAATCTTGTCTTTAGATTTTAAGAAGCACGTAATAAGATGCTTCAGTAGGGTACAAATTGGATTACTGAATACATTTCTTGCAGATCTCCTAAACTTCATTGATCTAGTCTATAATTTCACATTAATTTTACTTTTGGCGTATCTAACATTGCTTATATAACTCTTAAACCATTAAATTTGGTTATAGTTCAGATTAATCAAGCTAGTCATCATGAATGTCCTAATAAGCTCAGCAAGACACAAGTCAGCAAGTCATTATATGTTAATATCAAATCAATAAGTACTTACCTAAGTGAAGTGCCAAAATCATAATTGAACTAAACGTCGATTTTCAAATGCCCATGGAATGCTTTAAGCATACCGAATACAACTCACCTAAGCAACTCCTGATGATCCACAAGGCTGACTTGATCTGTTGGTTGGGAGTTTTGATTACAACCAGAGATTTGTGGATTCGGTCTTACATATGTGATGGTGTGTGTACTTATCTGGACGGAGTCTTTACGGGTGATCAAGTATGGCATGTGGCTGACTAGCGACCTTCCATTGCAAGTTGAAAGAGGCGTAGTTTTACATCTGCAAGTGGTAGAGTAGCGTCATAATTTGTGGTAGGGGTTTGATATGCGCGGCCCTTTAAAAAAAAGTGATGAGTGTGTGAATTTGATTAATCTGAGATCTAATACTGTCAAGATTACTCATGTATCTATCAGCAGAACTATCACAAGGGAATTATCTCAGAGTATTCGCCTTCAACATAAACTCTATTGAAAGTCTTCATTTCTTGTGGGCAATGACAAATAGCACAGATTTGTCACACATATCTGCTTCATTAATGATAATTTCTTTTACAAAACTTTTTTGTATTTCTTATGTGCTCAATTCTGTAGCACACGAACCTTATCTACATAAAAATAAGTGTTAAGAGCTGAATTGACATATGATCAACATATAAGACATGTTGCTTGTAACAACTTAAGGAGATTTGAGCTTCTTCTATACCTTTACACGTTTAGGCTCTATGCATATTATGAATCCAAAACTACACGGTAAAATTCATTTTTTTTCTGGTAATTTGGCGTTCAAATGCTCTATTTACGATCATGTATTCACCGAGTTTATGAAATTCAAAACATGTAGAGCAAGAGCTTGATTGTAACAAATAATACCTTCTCCAGTGATACATTTTCAAAATGCTTCTATTTATCTTCAAACGGTACGTTTCTCCAGCATTCCACCCCTTCTTTCTATTGTAGTTCTGTTCTCATGCATTTTCATGATAGCCACCTCAAACTTTTGGCAGTTCCTATGGTGTCTCAGTGGCTTAATGCGATTCTGGTTGGTTGGGAGATCAGGCGTTGATGATGGATATGTGGATCAAATTGAATGCTTTTCTGTAACTTTATTTTAGGATTTTTTATTAGGTGCGGATACTGAATAGCTTCTACATCCGGAGCAATAAATGTGCATGTGTCTTACTTCTTTACCCAGGGGGCGACGACCGACCCGGAAGGAACAATATTGTATGTATTAGAGTGATTTGTAAGACTAAGGGTATTGATTGGTTTTGGTCGGTAATTCGCTCGGTACGAGAAGTACATGTACGTCAAGATCATACATAAGCAATAAGAGCAATCCAGTTTGCTAGGTATTGCTCAGTATTGTTGAGGTATATGGCGCGGTATTGTGGTATTGACAGATACGGTATTTCTTCTGTTATTGCAGATACGGGAGGCAAATAACTAGGCAATAATAGCAATACCATAGCAATCAACGAAATAAGCATACCAGGTTTCCGTTCCGAGTCGGGTTGTCGGGCCACGCAATAAAGAGTAAGACGCACGTGAAAACATTTTTATTGACGTATGGATATAGACTACGCAGCATGTTTGGTATAAAAATTCTATTTACAGGGAATGTGCAAGGGTTGATAATTATGTCTCAATTTGGATTTGATTTTTTATTTTGCATTAATGATAGAAATAATTGTCTAATTTAGGTGATTGAAAATAAATTTTATAATAATTATGGAAATCTGGTAATATAATTCAATAAAAAATAAATGATAAATGAGTAATCTGTAAATTTAGTAATTTGAGAGGATGAATACTATTGATTATTGGGAATATTTCTCTTATTTACAGAATTAATTGAATGTTCATATGGTATCATATAACATTTGATATATTTTGAAATGATTGGGAATTGCTTTTATTTTTCATTTTTTTAAATAATTTTAAAACATTTAATCACTATCTAAAATAAATGACGATTGAGATGGACAACACTATTAAGTAGATTAAAAATATAAGAGAGGGAGATAATTACATTTATTTCGCTAATAAATTATATTAATCACTCATTATCATCATAGTTATTTAATTATTTTAATTTTAATAATTTTAATTTCTAATTTATTCTTTGGAATTTTGAACTATTAATTTATTTTTATTTTCTATTCTATGAATTAATCTATATTAATATCTATATATGCATATTTTTATTTTTTTTTATTTTGCATATTTAAACTATTTAATCTATTTTTAATTATTTCACTTCTTAAATACCATAACATTCCTCATAACTCATTGAAAAACAACACAGTAATTTCACACAAATCAAACACTTTATTTTCCTGCAACTAAGAGATTATTTATGATAAAATAGACATTTAACCTATCAGTCTTTTAATAATAATTTTTAATTTTATTTTTTTTTCTTATCATCTTTTTCAATCTATATTAATGGTTTTATGCAATATGGATATTACAACAGTGTTGTATTATACATATTTGGTGGTTGACAAAATATTATGTGGAAGTATTTATTTTTAGTTTTTAGTTTTTTTTTCCATATGATTTGATTAAGGAAAAGCAGCCAAATTTTAATTTGATTTCCTATTAAAACTAATCACTTTGGATTTAATTTCCAATTAAATGTATGACAATAATGGCATCACTTAAAATTTAAATTTATTGAATATAATGTTATATTATTATTAACATGAAAGATTAGTAAGTAGTATTATAGGCATTATGGTATCAAAATAGTTTTTAATATTTAATATATTTTTAATTATAAATTTGGAGTATGGTCTGTTTGGGGCGGTTGGTTAGTTTTTTTATAAAATTGTTTGTGATAGCTGCTATCAGGAAAAATATTTTTTTGAAAGTTTCTTATGAATATTATAATATAATAATTTTTATTGAAAAGCAAAGCAATAGTTTCTAACATGATTTGTCTTTATTATTAGATATATTGGTCTATTTGGGCGTATGGGTGTCAATATTATGACAGCGACATGAAAGCCTACCAGAAAATCGGGTTGGACCGATGCGGGTTTGAAAAACGGGTTGGGTTCGGAGTTGACCTGAGGGGTTGTTCGAGTTAAAAAAAAAAAAAAAACAACGCCCGCGCGCGAGCCGCGGCTGCCGAACCGCTACGCTGCCGCGCCGCATGCCCAGGTCGCAGCCCGGCCCTGCTGCCAGGCGCGCGCGATCCGCTGCCGCGGCGACGCAGGCAGCTGCTCGGCCCAGCGCCCGCCTGCCGCAGTGCAGCCCTCTGCCAGCGGCCAGGCGCCACTGGCCAGCTCGCCCCAGCCGTTGTCCGCCGTGCCTTCGCCCCTTTCGCGGCGGCGAGAACACAAAACAAGTCGGGTCGGGTCAAGCGGCAACCCGCACGTTCGGGTCCGGGTTCAGGACTTCGACCGTTTGTACTACCTCGGGTAGGGTTTTAGGGTCGACTCGTTTGAACCCGGGTCAGTTCTTAGGATTCAACCCGAAATTGGACTCGTGACCGATTGACAGCGTATTTGGGACGAGTGTTCATCTCTATACTTTTTAGGATCACAATGATTTATTGTTTGGCTATTTGATTTTCATAATTTTATCAGAAATTTTTAGCTAGGAGTTGTTTTTATAAACTAAAAAATTATTTTCACAAAGCTTTTAACAATTCTTAAAAAGTGTAGTCATCCAAAGAATAAAGATTCTTAGGCTTTTTTGTTTGTGATAATGCTTATGTGTTTTCTATGCAACTTTTTTTTTTTTTTTTTTGAAATCAACAAAAAATAGTAAGTAAAGCTATTCAAATGCTTTAAAGCTTCGTAGAATAAACTTTTTTTCCTACTTTTAAGAGATTTTAGAAGAAAAATTTATTTTTAATAAAAAATTATTTTAAGAAACAGTAAGAAAGCCGTCCCAAACGAAGCTTAGTCACAAAAAATAAATTTATCACAGACTAATAGCTTTGTTATTAAGTATAAGAAAAAAATTTGATGTATATAATCTCGGGCACGATTAAAAAAAAAATTCTAAAAATTAATTAGAAAATATTTTTAGTAATATATTTTTAATTGTTAAATTTAACTCGAACTTATTTTTTGTGGAAAATAATAATAATAATAACAATGATAATAATCTAATATAATATTAAAATGTAAAGAAAATGAATTGAATGTCTTATTGCTGTATTTTTACGAAATATATTCTTGAACATATTTTTTGTAATTTAAAATCATGTTCAATTAGTTGTTTTGAATATTTTTATTTTATTTCGGGTGAAAATTATCGCAATTTAAAAAATTTTGAATTTATGATAGTTTTGTGAAAAATTAATTTGAGATAAATTTAAATTAGTAGAATTTTTTAATATGTTTTGTATGTTCAATTTTTTTTTAATTTTAATGTAGATATTTTGACGAAGAGATAACTAGAGGTGTAAAAAAAAAGTGACCCGTAACTTGGACTAAATTATGGTAAGCTATGGGCTGGACTGGAACTTATTTTAACGAGTTTGTTTTAGGCCAATACACGATGAAAGAAATCAATGGCTTTGTGAGCGGCGGAGCTGACAAATTTGAATGCCTTTGAATATTTTATGATATAATCAGGTGGTAAGATATTTTCGCGTAGTAACCACTATTTATTAGGTCCGGTGTTAAGGCGTAGAGGACGTCCGGTCGAGTCAAAATCGCTTAAAAAACCCGGTATTTCTGCTCGGTATTGCTAGGTATTATTTGATAATATCGAGGAATCGTCTGTGAAGACAATACCGAGTATACGCGAGCATAACGAGTTTTTTGATAGGAAAAACTCGGTACAGACTTTTGTATAACTCGGTATTTTTCTCGGTAATAGCTTCGTTAAACTTTTGGTATTAGGTTTAACAGTGATGGTATTTCCTCGTTATTGTTTGGTATTGCTCGGTAATTGCTCGATATTTCTGCGTTTTTTGGGGGATTTGGCTCCGACGACGTTCGTCTACGTGGCGGTCGGAGAGTATAATTGTTCCGCTTTGGATAACTAGCTATTCGAGTGACAAATCTTCAATTATTCACATAAGTGTTTTTTTTTTTTAATTTTATATATATATATATATATATATATTATATATATATATTATAATATGTATATATATTATATTATATATATTTATATATAATATATATATATATATGTACGTTATATATATATACTATATATTATATATGTTTTATTGGATTTGGTGAGGCCTTTGGAAAATAATTATGAGAAACATATTGCATAGTGCATGTGACATCTATGGAAGGAAGATTATAAGGCGTAACTATCACAGGACAACAAGAGTATGATGGAGTTTTTTGATTAATTTGGGGTGA